CATAGCTCAGTTGCAGAGTAAGATGTGAGGTATATGGGTACCTGTACCCTGCAAAGCTCAGAAGCCTTGGTTGAGAAAATATAACACATAGAAAGAATGAGAAAACATGGGAAAGCACTAACTTACTCTAAGTAAGTGAGATAAATGCAAAAGGTCAGAGAAGGTCAACTCTCTGAAAGCCAAGGAGAGGAACAGAGCTCATGATAGAAGATCTGTGTTGACAAACAAGCAGACACACCAGGGAAGGGTAGGGTGCTGTTTCCTCCTCTGCTTAAATAGACACAGAGAATGACAGGAACAAGGCTTCTTTGTCCAGGGAGAAATCACTTCCCTCCAGAGCTCTTCCTTCCTTATGTAAACACATAGAGGCATTACTGAGGGATTGATGGGAGGACTGAATTAAAGAAGGCCTTTTCATGGGACTGGGAAGGTGGCTCAGTGGTAGAGCACTTGCCTTGCATGCTCGAGGCCCTGGGTTCGATTCCTCAGCACCACATAAGAAAAAAGCTGGAAGTGGTGCTGTGGCTCAAGTGGTAGAGTGCTAGCCTTGAGATGAAGAGTTGAGGGACAGCACCCAGGCCCAGAGTTCAGGCCCCACGACCGGACCCAAAAAAAAAAAAAAAAGAAGGCCTTTTCTCCTTTTCTGGGACTACTGGTTGATTGGCAAGCGAAGTCTAGGATCTTCTAGAAGGAAAGAGACTACAGATCATGCTGTAGCATATGACTAAGGAAGAGGCGCTCCAGGCTTTCTGGAGGGAAGGCTACAAGGAGCTCCTGAGCAGAATTCACTGCAAAGCAGGGAAATGTGGCCTTGTTAGGAATCAAAGCAGATGAGGATGGAGGGCAACTAGTTTGGATACCATGAGCAGGGCTGACAGTACAAGGACACACACAGCATCAGAGAACTAGAGCTTCCCAGGAGCCAGGAAGGATCAGTCTTCAACAGCATTACTCTGGAAAACAATCAACTAATTCCACCACAACACTGGCTCATGCCCTGCAGACTGCAAAACCTTCTATAGACTGCAAAACCTTGAAGAGGTCTAATAATATAGGGAAGGAAATATTTCAAAGGGAAATGTAAAATTTCTATTCAGGGTAGGAATCCACATATTTATGGTAACTTTTTAAAAATTTAAATTATAAAAAGAGAATCCATACAATTACTTGTATGTATTTCTATTCCAAGCTAGTCATCCTGGTTAATAACTACATCTCCTAGTAGTAAGACCCCTAGAGCAGTTGTATACAGAAAAATCTCCAAGATCTTAGGTAGAAAGCATTTCTTTTTAAAGGCTTAAGGACTTTGAACTATGATCTTCAGATCTTAGCCTCCTGAGTGGCCAGGATGACAGATATGAGCCATTGGTACCTTGCTGGAAAACACCTCTTTCGACTGGGAAAGCTACCCAAAGAGTTTCCGGAAAATAAACCATGATAAGTTCTCAGTTATCATGGATCATAGAAGTGGCAACACCCATGATGACTGAACACGAGAAATAGTGATGTGGATATTAGCTATTCACATAGGTACAAAACTGCTGGAGGTCTGCTGGGCAGGAGAGCATGGGCCAGGCAGGCAGTGGCCCTTGCATCCTTAGATACACAAGCTTAGGGATAATGTACATATTGGGCTGTGAAGGGGAGAAAACGAGAGAAGGGGAGACTGTTAAAGAAATGTACTTAATGCCTGACATTTGTAACTGTAACCTTTCTGTTCATCACCTTTACAATACACAAAGCCAATTAAAAGTAGCCTAAGCAAAGACCAAGAGGGAGAAAGAGGGAGAGGGAGAGGAAGAGGGAGAGGGAGAGGGAGAGGGAGAGGGAGAGGGAGAGGAGAGGGAGAGGGAGAGGGAGAGGGAGAGAGAGAGAGAGAGAGAGAGAGAGAGAGAGAGAGAGAGAGAGAGAGAGAGAGAGAGAGAAAACACTTGATGAGCTTAATGGCATCAAAGAGCTTCACTGAAAATTGCACTGCAGATTTCCCACCTGTAATCTCTATGCAGAGGAAAAAAAGAATATAAATAGCCATATGTGTCTTGTGTCTTAATAATCTGATTGAGAACCAAAGCAAGTTTGAAGGAAGTACCAGTGGAATGTTCTCTGATCTTACCTCTTACACTTACCCACATCCAGAACTCTGAATGAGCTGCGTCTTCCCTAGCTACTAGTTCGAGATGAGATCTAAGTTCACTCATCACTTAATGAGTAATAAGCTCATTTTAACAGAAATGAGCTCTGTTTCCACAACAATCTTCCACAGTAAGAATGGCACTCCACAGCCTTACAATGCTGAATGTACCTGAACTCCTCTGATCTTAGAAAAATTGTTATTCTCACATATGGACAAAGAAACTAAGGATCAGAAGGGTTCAGTGACAAGCTGGAAGGCTTTTCCTTGACTATGCTGCTTACATCAATGAATATCTCTAATCCTTATTCATCTGCAGGTGAAAGAGTTAGGAGGCTCTTTCATTCTTTTTTACCCAGTCATTTTCAAACCATTCTGTATAGCCCACATATCAGACACGGCTGCAGGTTTTCAATCTACAGGCACTCATGCTTATTTTCTTCATCTCTATAAAACAGAAACAGACTTGGAAAAATTGCCCAATGGCTCAAAGTCTTTCAAACCTGAACACCTATGAAATTCTTTCGGTCTATGGGAAGAAAAAAAATATTTAACATAAAGCCATTCACTATTTACATGCTACAAAACAGACTCTAGGACAATGTCTCATATCTCTTCATCATTATATGATCAAAGACTAACAAATGGTCTCCACATTGCATAGAATTTAGATAAAAGCTACAACATCTCCCCATACCTAAACTTATTGAACTAAGAAAACCTCTTAGATTTATCTCACTCTTGACTACAAAACAAACTCACTCAAAGAAGATAAAAAGAGGACTGCACTAGCTCATGGGAAAATCCACAGACATTCACTCAACTTTCAGCACAGCTTGAACTGGTGCCATTTTGAAACTAAATGTGGCACTAAAAGAGCTATAGCTCCATTTCCACCCACTTCCAAACCAGAGGGAGCAAAATCACCCCTCATCCCCCCCACACCTTCGAAAATGTCTAAGCATATCACATTAGTGTCAAGTGAGCAATTCACACATCCCGGGGCCATTACCATTGCAAAGCAATGGGAGATCCCAACTGATCAAACCACTAAAACTACCTGACTAGGAGGGAAGGGATTCAAGACCACAGAAAGGATGGTTGTACTGAATAAAAAATGTGGTTTACAAGGGTATTATGAAAGATCAACAAAGGTCAGTAAAATAAAGCACTCTGAAAAACCTCAAAATGCTGTAATAATACGCCATACTGTTATAATCACTATATTCCTAGACAAAAAGTTGCTTAATATTCATTAATTCTAAACTCATTATTTGCATGAGGCACATGAGCATAGATGGTGTTCATCTTAAATGGACCAAAGTTTTTATTAAATACTAAAAAGAATGGAGGGAAACAAAACCTGCTCCAATTCTATGAACATTTGCAAAAACCACCCCAGTTTCATCACTCCCAAAGTAAAATCTATAAAATGGGGCTAATACCACTCACATAGTAGGAAATGTAATTGGCTAATACAGATAAAGCACCTCAGATTATGCTGTACATTATTCGGGCTCTGTAAATGCCTGCACTATGGTACAACAGTGGAGAATCAGTAAGTTCTGAGTTCACATCATTTGCTCCAACCCCTTACTAGGTAATTTGGAGTATAGGTTTTCTCATTGCTATATGGATGTCAATAGCATCAACTTCATATGGTTGTTATTAGGATTTAAAAAGTAATATAAAGACTGAAAAGATATCTACACCTTGCCAGTGTTCATTAATTGGTGGTACTAATAGTTTTACTTGGAGTAGTTATGTAAGAGTTACTTAGAGACTGCTCTTGCTAAAACTCATTGTCTCCTCTCTTGGGCCCACAATTTAACTGGAAGCAGCATAAATAAAAAGCCTTATACCCCTGCCATCATTCTACATTTGTCATCCTGCAGCCACCTTCAAATCTAGAAATGACAGGACTTCTGTATAAAGACAACAAGAGACAGCACTATCCCTCGAACTGCCATGACTTTCTCATCATGACCAAACCCCACGTGACCAATCATGAGATGGTGATCAACTAGTCACACCTGTGACCATCTCTGACCATCACACCATACCACACTTATAGCTAGGAATGTTTTATAACTCTGTATGCTTCCCTGCCCCAATTCTTCCTCTGTCAAACCTAAAGCTCATGTCTATACTCCAAAGATGGGCTGAATGCTTACTATAGTTCTTCCTGTGATGTCCTCATGCCACAGAACAAATCTCCTTTCTCCACCCTGGATCATCACTCCTCTCTTTCTTAGCATATTGGGGCAAGCAGACAAGCCTGACCTATTGGAAGCCTGAAAAGTAGATTTCTGATTGTATAGTTAATAGCAGTTGTACAAAAAATCTGGAGTAGCACCACAAATTGCTTAACTTTTACTTCTTTTCTTCAGCTCAACAACAGTTCCGAGGTAACAGATGCACCAATTTTGGCAGAAGCAAACCAGTGAGCGACTCTAAAACAGCAAGTGCAAGTTCACATTATAAACCACAGTCTTGAGTTTAATTCTGTTGGGTTTATCTCTGCCAAAATATTGTAAATGCCCAGAAATAAATATATCCCTAAAAAGTATGCAGCTCATACTTTCACGTTCAATTTTTAGAATCTCAGCTTTCCTAAAAAGTTTCTGTTACTGAATGAAGCTAACAGGCCAGATTATTCCACCAGAATGAAATCATGCATTTTTGGTTATGTCTATAATTTCTCAACCCATAACACCACTATTTCTTATGCATTTAACTGAAAAATGAATTGGTCCTCAATAAGCTTTAAAAACTTCTTCCTTTTTCATTTCCCTAAATCATTTTCATTTTTCATTTCCCCAAAGAAGAATGTGAAAATCAAAGATTTTTTTAAGGCCTAGGAAAAGAATAAAGAAGAATAAACACAAAGCCCTGTCTATGTTTCTCAGGGCTAACACCTTAGATCAGTGTCCAACTCATCTGGGTTTCTACTTGATTTCCCTTTATCTTTACAGCTGTATTTCAGGACCATAAGTAAATGTGCTTCCATTCCCTTGCTAAGAGCCTGGATTTAAGTTCCTTGTACCAACTATCATTCTCCACCATTTCATTTGGGATCACAAGACAGTTGAACTACAGCTTGCTGGAGGTAAGAAGAAACCTTAGAAGCCATGCTGCTACAGAGAAGGTGAGTGATACCTAAAATATCACAAAATGAATCTAGAGCAAAACCATAGAGATAAAAAACCCAGGCCTAAGTCTCCCACAGAGAACAGCTTCCCCAAATTTGGGAGATTTCAGTATCAAATCTCTAATGCTTTGGTCTGACTTTGTCTGGGGTTTTGTGTGTGCTAGTCCTGGAACTTGAACTCAGGACCTGGGTGCAGTCTTTAGTTTTCATGATCAATACTGGAATTCTACGACTTCAACCATACCTCCAGTTCCAGGTTTGTTTGTTTGGTTTTTTTGGGTGCCTAATTGGAGATAAGCCTCATAGAGTTTTCTGACTAGCGTGGTTATGAATCTTGTTCTTCAAATCTCAGCCACTTGAACAGCTAAGATTATGCTTAAGCCATGGGGTCTGGCTGTTTTGATCTAACTTGGTATCCTTTCATTGCCAAGCAAACTAATCCATAATTTGCCTTTTATTTTGTAACCAAAATACTAGGTCTTATCAATAATAAAGTGTTACTCTCAGACTTTTGACAAGATACTACCACCTGAGTTAAAAATAAAGGCAAAGGGGGAAATTTCTCAACATTTTATGTATGCATGCATATATGAATGCATGTATGTATTTTACAGTGTTGAGGAATGAATCAGGCCCTTGAGCATGGTAGGCCACTGAGCTCTGCTTTTTTTCTATGTCTTCATATTCGATAATAAAATCACCTGAGTAGGAATTAAGTAATGTTACCTCAGTTGCTTGGCTTATACAAAGCTATTTTTGTAAGGGGTTTAACTTTATGGCCAATCTCTTTATAATAAAAAAGTAACCTTAGAAAGGATGATTTCTTTTGCCTATCATATATTTATTAAGCTTATAGTAACATTAAATATTAAAACTACTTCTACTTGAAAAACATCACTGAAGTCCAACCAATAGCTACTGAAATCCAAGATACAGGAAGTTACTTCACTGACAAGGGTCTCATATCTATACCAAGGGTTGAGGACACAGGCATAGGCCAAGTCCTGGGTTCTATCTCCAGTACTGCAAAACATTTAAAAAATTGAAATATAAAACAATTTAAAATGAAAATAAAACATGCTATTACCTTCCCAAAGTCACGAACATCAAACAGGTCAAATGCCTCAAAGAGTTCACTTTTCTTCATTCCAAATGTCTCACAACAGGATGTAAGAAATGTCCGGATGTTCTTCAAACAGAGAAACTGAGGAATGGAAAAGAGCCATTAGTATATGCGACTACTAGCAACTACCATCCTCCTTGTGTAAAATGAGGAGGAAGGAAGCACTAATCCCAGTCCAGATTGCTTGCAGGTCACTTAGTCAACAGCACTGATTGAACTCCCATGCTTTCAGCACTAGTGACACTACAGTGACTAACAGGCACAATTTCTACCCTCAGGACACATGCATGCTAAAACAACAGTCTAGAACAATTGTAGCAGCACACACGAAAAGCAAGCATTTGTATTGACACTGTTCTATAGTTCCAGAAGGAGGAATGGGGAGGGTTGGGGCGGAGGGAGCGGATTAACCAGCATGATTAGAGATGTTCTCAGGGACCACAGGACAGTGAGTGCAGCTGGGATTTGGAAGTGTGAAGGGAATAGGACAAGTAGGTTGTAGGACAGGTACTCTGGCCCTGAGACAGGGTCTAAAAAAGCCAGAGTGAGGTAAGGGCAGACAGGAAGGAGGTCAGTTAGGAAGGAAGTAGAGTCAGCTGATGAAGGGTCTTATGTACGGCTCTGACTCTGACTGATATAAGAAGTCACTGGAGGTTTGGGTCACAGGAAGGACATGATCTAAGGTTGTAAAGGGGTGTTTGGGGACTGCTATGATGTACACAGACTGACAGGCTTGATGGGTAAACCATGTAGAAAGCTACTGAGATAGTAAGAGAGGTTTCCATTTTGATAGGAATAACTTGAGAGAGATTGGAAAGTTAGTCACAAAAGAGGAAGGAACAGTGGCCCAAATGAGGTCCGTGGGTAAAGCAAAGGGAGGAGAATCAGGTGTTCAAGGACAGAGGGCAACCTTAGGGAGGTGCATGGTCAACTCCTCCACACTAACTCAATGCGTTAGGGGGAGGGAGGGTGGAGGGAGGGGGGAGTTGACACAGATGTTACTGACAACTTAAAAACTGAAAGTTAGGCCAGGTGCTATGGCTCATGCCTATAATCCTAGCTATTCAGGAGTATGAGATCTGAGGTTTAAAAACCAGCACAAGCAGTAAGACTCCTACTAACCACAGAAAGCCAGAAGTGGAGCAAGTGGTAGAGCACTAGCCTTGTGCACAAAAGCTCAGGGACAGGGCCTATGCCCAGAGTTCAAAACCCCTGGACTGGCAAAAAAAAAGTCAGGATTCACTTTTAGCATCTAAGATTTAGGTACACACACACACACACACACACACACACACACACACACACACACACACACCTGAAAATAAATTATTTTCAAAATATTACCTACCATGCACATTTTTAAAGAGAACATTATATACACATATATATCTTTTTTTTTTTTTTTTTGGTGCTGATCGGGGGAGGGGCCTGAACTCTGGGCCTGGGTGCTGTCCCTTGGCTCTTCAGCTCAAGGCTAGTGCCCTACCACTTGAGCCACAGCACCACTTCCGGATTTTTCTACTTATGTGGTGCTGAAGAATCGAAGCCAGGGCCTCATGCATGCAAGGCAAGCGCTCTACCACTGAGCCACCTTCCCAGCCCCCCCCATATATATGTATATATATATATATATGTATGTATGTATGTATGTATGTGTGTGTGTGTGTGTCACACACACACACACATACATCAAAACTTCATATACAGTGGTGTAGTACATGTCAATCACACCAAAATAATCTCTAAATGTATTTTTGAAAACATAATTTCCAGTAAGTAGCCAACATATTAGCATCTTTGCTTTTATTTATTTGTTAGTTTATTTTTGTGCTGAGACTAGAACTCTGGGACTGGGACTGGGTGCTGTCTAGCTTTTTCACTCAAGGCTAGCACTCTACCACTTGACCCTTACCGCCACTTCCAGCTTTTTGGTGGTTAGTAGGAGCTAAGAGTCACTGACTTTCCTATGATCCTCAAATCTCAGTCTTCTGAACAAGCTTGAGCCAATAGTACCTGTTTGTTTTTAATTTAAAAGCATTGTCAATATTTTGTTTTGTCTCTGTCATTTGATTTATAGAACGCACATCTGATTTCCTCTATATTTAAGGCATTCAGATTTAAGTGTTGTGGGCTTAATTTAGACAAGAGTCTTATCCTTCATAGGAACCACTCTGAGAGGCTTAAGTATCATCAGGGAAGATCCGATCCTAAGCCTTTTGAAACAGAAAGGCTGCAGCCAATCAGCATGCACAGTTCCTGTTTTTGCTTTAAAAAATTCATAAAAGACCTTTACAACACAGAATCCCTCTGCATGTTACTCTTCCCCACACAGAATTGCTTATTTACAGATTAAAAGCCTTGCATTCTGCCAAGACAGGCAATAATTACTCTCGGGGGGATTATGCAACTGTTCACTTGCAATATTTCTTTTACATAATTAAGTGCCCAACTCATAACTCACCAAGGAACAAAGGCATAATGTCAAACACCACCCTCTGAAGATTTCTTAGCAAACCCCAATTTTCCCCATGTGCAGAGAAAACTTCATTGGGCTTCTACAAAGTCCTTTAATCTCTAATTCGGGGGGGGGGGGGAATTAAAAAGCAAATAGTGTTACTGAAAGTAAAAACAGGATATAATAGTCATTGAAGACACAGGCAAGAAGGATTAAAAACAGGCTTTGCCCTCATTTCTGGAATCAATGTTAAGCTTAATTGCCCTTAACCAGTTCAATTCTACTTTTAAAAAAATCAACTAATACTGACTGGCATTTGAAAAAAGTTACTGGTTTGCTGACAATCCCCAAAGTTGATTTCCCCCATTAAATATATCTTTTTAGTCAACACCTTTGGAAACTGCAATGTTACAGACAGGAAAGTGCAATGTTACAGACACTGGAATACTACAGCACACGAAAACCGGGCTCTGTTTCAAGCTTCTCTATTATATCTATCAGGGGATTTTTAACAGTGCTCCAGAATTCAGCTAATAGCACTAGGCACACACTTCCCTAGACGTTCCCCCAGTGTTCAGCCATATGCACAAGCAGGAGCCTAGTTGAGGGATGGAGGAGGTCTGCCCCAAGTCATTATGGAAACCCCAAACACAGCTGAGCCTGTGGGCCAGCTCAGCTGGCCTACCACCGCAACTCTTCTGTTCTGTAATTACCTTCCTTTGTTAAAAAAAAATCAATCTAAAAGATGAAAGAACAATATAAAAGAGCACTCTTTCCTATCCACACATTTCTAATAACATTATAATGCTTGTGCACACATCCCCTTTCTTTTTGTTTATTCGTGTGTGTGTGTGTGTGTGTGTGTGTGTTGTGTGTGTGTGTGTGTGTGTGTGTGTGTGTGTGTGTGTGTGTGTGTGTGTGTGTGTGTGTGTGTGTGTGTGTGTGTGTGTGTGTGTGTGTGTGTGTTTACAGCACTAGAGATTGAAACCAGGGCTCTAAGTTATCACTGGGCTACATACCCATCCCTTTTCTGAGAGGGAGGCAGTTCTGGGGTTTGAACTCAGGGCCTGGGCAGTACCCCTTAGCTTTCTCACTCAAGGCTGAGGTACCATTTCAGCTACAGCTCCATTTCTAGCTTATTTTTCTAGTTAATTGGACTTAAGAGTCTCAAGGACTTTCCTGACTAGGCTGGCTTTCAACTATGATCCTCAGATCTCAGCCTCTGAGTAGGTAGGATTACAGGCTTGAGCCATCTGGAGTTTTTTCCCCATATTTTTAAAATATATTTGGCTGAGCTATTTGAAAGTTAAGTTTGAAGCACTGCACTTCAATAGTTCAATATGCATCTCCTAGAAACAAGGACATTTCCCTACAGACCAGCAGTACCAGTATTACATGTAAGAAAACAGCAACTTCAGATACCTAGACTCCATCCTGCATTAACACTTCAGAATTGCCTATCCCATAATTTTTTACATTTTTTTTTACCTATCTTAGGCTCTAATCAAGTTATTTCATTGCATTTTTTTTACCTCTGCAAGAGCTTCTGATCTGAAAATCCTGCTTTTACTTTATGCTCACATCAACTCTTTGACAACACGGCTGATTGTTTTATAAATGTCCTACATTCTGCCTGAGTCTGATGACTTCTCATAGAATCATTAAATATGTTCTTCTATCCTTTGTATTGCCTCCAAAGTGAAGTCTAGATTCAGCAGAAAGAAACTGTCAGCAAAAATACTCCATACTGCGAACTACACATTCTACCCCATCAGAAGACAAAAAGTGTTAGACTGTCTGTCCCACTGCCTACTTAATTATAAGCTCAATCTCCTGATTAACATGGTTCCTATTTACACCCGCTCCCATTGTAAAGGCATAAGTGTCCCTTTGTGTCCATAAATACTCAGAGGATAAAAACGCATTACTATGTGGCTGTTCTATTCCCAAATCATTTTCCACAATGGGTGTAGCATCTATTGATCATCCTTGTTTTACTCCATTTGGGACTATAAAACAAAGATTTCTTTCTAATTCTGTCATTATTTTCATATTCTTTTGTTTGAATAAATAGGGCTTCCCCTCTTTAGTTTCTCCCTTTTTTTTAGTTTGTAATAATCAACTGCCATCATTATTCCTTCTGATCTTCATACTGTCCAGAATTTGCCCTTAAACTAGTTCTTTTGTTCGACTCCATTCCTCCTTGTGTTCTTGCTTATGTCAAGTTGTTCCCAAGCCCTGTTTGTCCTGCTCTAATTCTGAACTCAGCCATTTCTCCAGGCAGATCTGTTTCATTTGTTAATAGTAAATAATTTAGGAACCAAAGCCTGAGCACCAGGCTACTGCTTGACGACAGGAGCCAATGAGAATTAAATGAAACAATGCATCTACCTTTTACTTAAGCAGGCTATCAGTTGCCATAGCAACAGCTAATATAAACTGGACTGGCCTAATGGGATCTTTCAGAAAAGTCCATACTTCTCTTTGTGGAATGCCTAATAAGCAACTTTTTATCTCCTTAAGTTCAGAAAAAAAGGATGCTTGAGGTCACTAGATGATAAATAGGAGATTTGATGGCTAAGAGATATTTGGTGTCTCCTATAACATTATTTCAGTATAAGGGGTTTTTTTTTCCCCCTGTTTATTTATTCTTTGAGATTGGAAGGAATGTGATAGTCCTTCATATAATCTGAAGCAGTTTAAAACAAAAACACTTTGTTCTGAGATACCAGGGTAAGCCCATCTCATCATTGTTCAATTATGTCTTACTCTTAAACAAAAACTACACAGCTTGGCTAAAATCCTGAAACCTAATAATAAGAGATAACCTTAGGATTTCTCAGGATTTAAAATTTTTAGGAATTTGAATAAAATAATTTAGGATTTTCAGATTATTGTGTGTACACATGCAAGATAAAGATCCAATAAGGTTACAAATAGTGTTAATAATTACTCATTTACTTAAAAGATATTAATGAGGTACCTATTGTGTATTTGGCATCATGAAATGTCATAAAACAGACCCCTTAGGTCTGATTCATTAGTTTGTTGAACAATTGTTAGCTTAATGAAAGTATCAAGAATTCAGTATAAAAAGCAAAAGGGCTGGGTGTTGGTGAATCAAGCTTGTAATTCTCAGGAGACTGAGATCTGAGGATCACAATTCGAAGCCCATCTGAAACAGGAAAATCTGTGAGACTCTTATCTCCAATTAACTGCTAAAAAGCTGGAAATAGAGGTGTGGTTCAAGTGGTACAGTACCAACCTTAAGCAACAAAGCTAAGTGTGTGTGGGGGGGGGGCGGATGGCCTGAGTTGGAGCACCAGTACCAGCACAATAAAAGTGAAAAAAAGCAAATATGGGCAGAGTGTATTATCTCATGCATGCCTAATACTCCAAAACTATCCAGTAGGTAGAACTCATGGTTTGAGGTCAGTTTGAGGAAAAAAGTTAGCAAGGCTCCTATCTCACTCAAAAAGCTGAACCTGATGGTATACATTATGTCATCCCAGAGAAGCCAGAGGCACTGGGAGGGAGGGTCCTATCTGAGACCAGCTCTTGGCAAAAAACGCAGACCATCCCTGAAAAATAAGTCATGCTTAGGGCAGGACTCAAATGGTAGAGTACCTGTCAAGCAAGCCTGAGGCCCTGAGTTCAACTCCCAATCACACAGAAACGAAAAAGAACATGACCCAGCTTCTCCCTCCTTGCCTACATAGTTGGGTAGAGCACAAGGAGGTGTGTAATGAGAGTAACTGTTACATGCTCCTTCAAAAGTTCCCCAGGAGTCCTGCATGTCCAGGGGCAGATTTTTAGAATAACTGATATAGCTCTAAAGGGTGAGTGGAAGTTGACCAGGGTGGGGGCTGGAGTCCAGAGATAGAAAGGAAACAGCCGGACTAAGGGTGTGTGTGTAAGGAGGAGGGATAGTTCTGATCACCGCAACCCTGATGAGGAGCAATGAGAAAAGAACTGGAGAAGGGAGGTGAGGGTGACCTAGCCTGCCAAAAGGCTTGGCCTAAACCTGAATGAATGAATGAATGAATGAATGAATGCTGCATAAATCACTGTGGAGTTAAAGGATTTAAAGTAGCAAGCGTAAAATACTCTCAGAATTTTAAAATACTGCTCAAAAAATATTCTATGATTACTAGGGATATGATTCCCCCTTTTTTTCTGTTTGTGCCCATACTGAGGCTTGAACTCAGGACCTTGGCACTCACTTAGTCTTATTCATTCACAGCTAGTGCTCTGCCACTTAAACCACTCCTCTACTTCCAGCGTTTTGATAGTTAGCTGGAGATGAGAAACTCATGGACTTTTCTTCCTGGGTTGGCTTCAAACCCTGATCTTCAGATCTCAGTTCCCTGGGTAGCTAGGATTCTAGGCATGAGCCAACCATGCCTGGCAGGGTTATGATTCCTGAGTAACTGCTATGTTCCAGACTCTATGTAAAATGTCTATGCTATTTAGGCTTCATATCCAATTCCTCCAGTAAAGTTTCATTTTTCTTTTACATGAATCTAGTGGGGCTTAGAGGTTTACCCAAGATTATATAACTGGATTTGCCAAAGTAATGGAATCAGGATTCAAATCTAGGCATTCTGGCTACAAAGCCTGTATCCTTAAGTACTAAGTTCTAGTAAATCCATTTCACAGTATGTAGTATTAACCAGAAGTCTTTTTTTTTTTAATTAGGAGGGTGATATAGATAGCAAAAGAATCATTAGAACACTGACATTAATCTGACAGGAAATGACACTCATTTAGATTGAGGATAGGAAGGAGACTAGAAAGAACTTTATGCATATGGATGGAAATATCTAGTAAATAGCAGTATGGTTAGAGTAGGGATTTAGAGAAACTTAAGAGTTATACTCATGTCTCTGCCTGGGCACTGTATAGCCAGCTGAAAATGGCAACAGCAAATGAGGACTAGGTGGAGGACCACAGGGACCAACCACAGATTGCATCAGTTAATTCTTTTTCTTTTTTTGGGGGCGGGGGGGAGGAGAGAGGAATATTGTCCTGGGGCTTGAACTAAAGACTCTATATCCTCTCTGGGTTTTTTTTTTTAACTCATGACCAGAATACTACCACTTGAGCCATGCCTCCACTTCAGCTCTTTGCTGGTTAATTGGAGCTAAGAGGTTCTTGAATTTACTTGCCCAGGCTGGCTTTGAACCACAATCCTCAGATCTCAGCTTCCTGAATAGCTAGCATGACAGATGTGAGCCACAGGGTCTGGCTGCACCTAAAGAAAAGCCCAGGGATAAGGTGCTACCTGGCCTGTCTCTAGGATAGCAGCGAAACACAATGTGTTCCAATAACAATGTGTTCCAGTCTTCTGCTGTCTCTCCACCACCCTCCCCCAAGTCTCCCCATCCCTCCAGAAGGACATTCATAGGTTACTCGTTCAACGTCAAGGGATGGAAATAGTACAAAAGCATTCAACATCAATGCATGTAACTTTCAAAGAAGAAAGTACAGCATCAAGGAAGCGCTGAAATTGTGTCTAAAATTATCCCTCAGGCCAAGGCTCTCTGGATTAGAAAACGTTTCATAATCAGAAAGCTATCACCACAAAAGTGGCTTACCAAGATGTGACCATATTGCCACCGCCACAAAACTAGTGATACTAATGGACCTGAAGGGAACGTTTAAAGGTCAGACTGCTAAATTCAGTGTAACAATAAAGCACCCTCCCCTTTCTCTCTACTGTATGAATGAAGCATATGGCTTCTTTTCACTCACGGTATAGAAGCTATCCTGTCTTCTCTCAAGGATACAAATGCGAACAACATGACTTCAACTATTCCAGGATTATGGGTAATAATGAACTTGCTGTGTTAACTAAGACGAGAAGAAAGTTCTCCACAGCTTCCTGTGGCGTGAGTTACTTCAAAACCAGTGGAGAAAGGGTATCCCAGAGGAAGGCTGGCTGTCCTCGACAACCAGAGGAAACTGACAACCGCAGGGACCACAAGGACACAAAAAGCTGAGCTGTCTGATGGAGAAAGAAATGTCCAGAGTCTCCTATCTTGGGGAGACACTCGTTATTCCATTAGGAGAAATCCTGCATTTGAATTCTGACTGGCCATTAATAGATGGCCAGTTTTGAAAAGCAAAGAAGAGACTACCATGAAGCCAATTTACAAGTATTTCAGTAGAAAAGTTTTCCTAAGCTGAGCACAATGGCTCACACCTGTAATCCTAACTACTCAGGAGGCCGAGATCTGAGGATCACTGGTGTTCAGTCTAGTGCAGACAAATCCAAGATACTTTTATCTCTGACCAGTGAGGACGTGGAAGTGGAGGTATGGTTCAAGAGGCAGAGTACTAACATTGAGCTAAGAAGCTAAGGGATGGGGTGCTTTGGTCCTATGTTCAATCTCCAGTACTGGCACATACACAAAAACAGTTTTACTTCTTAGCTCAGCCTTACTTAGCTCAAGCTTTAGCAAGCCTCTGTCCCAGTACTTTGCCATTCTAACTCTTCCTCTACCCATCTCCAAATGGCTCAAGTCCTCCTTTCTGGAACTGGCAAAACAGAGACATGTAAAAGAGAACTATTACTAAATCAAGTTTGTTCCTTAGTAGAGTTTTCTAAGTTTGTTCTTCTAACCATACCTTCTCCTTTCACCCTACCTGCAGCTTAAAATTAAATGGCTATGTCTTGCATAAGAATTATTTGTTGGAGTGAATAGCATATCCTTCTCCCCTTTAAGTCATTTGGTAGCAACCCAGTGATAGATAGTATCCATCGCTTCTGTTCTTGAAGAACTCTCATTTTAGGATTCATCATGGTTTCACAATCTTTTCCTTGTCCTCCAAATATTTATATAAAACCATCAAGGATGCTCAGAGAAGCAGATAGGAATGGGGAAAACTTGTTCCTTAGCTTGATCTTGGGCTCCGATCATTAAAACAACCCCTCCTCCCTCACCCAGCCAATATTTCCATTTGGACAACTGCCTAAGCCTTGACTCATTGTCAATGGTAAAAATGTTTAAAATCGCTTAATCAAAATATAGTAAATTGGTAGCATTTACATTAAATGTTTTCTTCACATTGTTAAATGTTCTGTATATTTCATAAAAATGAAATATGTGTGACTTGACAGAAGTGATTAAGTTCATTAATGTCAGACAAAGTTGTAAAAACGTACATGCATTCTCTTTGCTCTAGAGTTCCTGGCCCCACTGCTACCGTGGTGATGAAGTGCTTGACTACAGCTACAGCCCTATGAATGGCTAATAGTTGTAAGAGAAGAAACTACGTCTATTTCAGGTTTGTATCCACAAAGCTTTGGGAATAGTACATGTCTTCAAGTATTTTTTATGAATGGATGTTGATGCATTTTGCCTGTAGAAAAATGAAGAGATCATTCTTTGGTTGCCAGGGAACTCAAGAGTAAAAGTTCACATTCAATTCTCACGGTGTCCTTATATGTGTATATAGCAATATCTTGCCACGCTCAAAAACAGAATACCACATTTTCACTTAAATTTGGAAGCTAGACCTAAAATACATTCATACTCATGGACAAGTACAAGCTAGTTACTTAGAACATTAATCTTTTTGAGGAGTTGGTGGTATTGATGACTGTGACTTTCATTAGGCAGTTGTGTTCATAAATAATCTGCATTGCTATAAACTGATTTTCAAGGACTCTGATCAAGGGTCCCATTGCACACATGCACACACACATATAACCATACACACATACCCATGCACATACATACAACTACAAGTCCCCTCTCTGCTTCCACCAGCTCTAGTCCCCCTAACGATTTGCACTGCATGGTACAGAACTTCCATAGCATAGCCAAAGCCCTGGCCCCCATCTCCAGAACCATAAAGACAAAAAAAAACAAAAATATAGGAAAGGGCATTTTTAGCATACCATATATAACATATTTGGGCATTGCTTTTATGACCAGAGATGTTGAACATCTTGTGTCTGTTGGCCCTTCTTATTTCTTCTTCAGAGAAGTCTCTAAGTCTTTAGACAAAAAAAAATCATGCTGATTTCCCTCATTTGTAATTAACTAGAATATGTCTATAAATCTACGAGTTAATCCAATGAATAGTAAAAGACAAATAATTACATTTGGATATGAATAATTAAACAGCACTCTAAGCGTTCCCACACTGAGAACAAAGGAAGGTATTCTTAGCAGAGGTTCACAAAGGCTCCGTAGCTATGTGCATATAAAATGATGCTTATCAAAATTTCCACCATAGGAATATTGATACAGTAAGTAAGATCATGTTGGCAGAATCAATTCCAGACTCCTTCCAGCATTAGTCATCTGCCAGCATTAGTCCACCATGCTACACAGCCTCCCTGGGTGGTGATAGAAGGTTGCCCAGCAGTGTTAGGATCACAGGATAAGGCCCATCACCTAAAAGCTGACTGCTAATCTCCGGTAAGACAAGCCCAATAGGATACCATATCTCCTCTCCTTTCCACCTTCAATGTCTGAATAAAGTGGAGGACTACTTGTACCCACCTCCCTTACTCCGAAAGTTTTAAGAAATCTAAAAAGACAGTTCAGCTAATACACATTTTGCACAATGGATAGCCTCATCACGCCTGTTAGGCAAGTGCCTACCACCTGAGCCACACTCCCCGCTCTGAGTCCTACTCATTTATGTTGATATAAACATGTACTTTTTTCCTTCACTGCAGTCAATGCTGGAAACTTCTGTCACACTGTTTGCTCCCAAACACACCACATCACACACACACGCATCCCTTCGAAAATCATGTTTTTGTACTTGCTACTATACTGCAAACCAATATTTAATATAAACTAAAAAATCAACATTCAAAAGCAAAATTTATACTTACTATGGGAAGAACCATTGGAAGAAAAAGTACAACAAAAACATACCCGAAAGCACTGCATTAAAAGACATTGTACCAATTTTACATGCTTTACTGCTCCTATCCAAAGATAAGAATAACATGATTTATCTTCCTCAAATATGATACTAATTGAACTCAGAAATAGGCAGGACATTTGTTTGCGACTCAAGGCAAATTCTCTATGGTTTACCCTCAAGCCACTGCCTCCTGGAGTTGGCAGCAATCTCAATGCCCAGAAGTGTGCACCTGATAAGGACAACGGAATCCAGCAAACTGAGAAATCAGCTTTGATCCAGACAGCTTCAACCATGAGCTGAACTTGGTATTTCTTTTGGCTACAGTGATTGCCAAAAAATGCTATTCATCACAGCAGTATCAACTAAGAGCCTAAACAAAAAGTGGTATGGCCAAGCACTGGTGGCTCACACCTGTAATCCTAGCTACCAAGTAGGCCAAGATCTGAGGATCACAGTTCAAAGGCAGCCCAGGCAGGAAAGTCCCCATGAGACTCTTATCTCCAATTAGCCACCAGAAAAATGGAAGTCACACTGCAGCTCAAAGTGGTAGAACACTAGCCTTGAGCAAAAAGAGCTCCGGGGCAGTGCTCTGAGTTCAAACCCCATGACTGACAAAAAAAAAAATACTATGATACTGACTCACATCCTTAATAATAGCTACTCAGGAGTCTGAATCTGAAGATCATGGTTTAAAGTAAGCCAGGACAGGATTGTCTATGAGATGCTTATCTTTAATTAGCCAGCAAAAAGCCAGAAGTGGAGCTGGGATTCAAGTTATACCTCATTAGCCTTGATTAGAGAAAACTCAGTCCCTGAGTTCAAGCCTTAAAACCAGCAACACACACACACACACACACACACACACACACACACACACACACACACACACACACACAAACACACACACACACACACACACCCCACACGTGTAATTTTTAAACCACTGTACCCAGGTTATATTAAATATCACAACCATTATTTGAGGAAAGGAGATATATATTTTCCATTAAAAAAACAGCAAAAATTACTCTTCCTTTTAATAGATTTTCTTGAAAAATCCATTTTCCAATAGTTTATCCTTCCATCTCCGTAACAAATATCCCCCAAATTACCATATTTTAGCATATAAACTACATCTTATATGTTGAAAACTTGTTTAGAAATCTATTGCCAAGACTATGTCTTGGCATTCTCAGTTCAATAGCTTTGATGAAGCCGGGCACTGGTGGCTCACACTAGCTACTCAGGAGGCTGAGATCTGAGGATCTTGGTTCAAAGCCAGCCCAGGGAAGAAAAGTCCGTGAAACTCTTATCTCCAATAAACCACCAGAAAACCGGAAGTGGCACTGTAGCTCAAGTGGTAGAGCACTAGCCTAAGAGCTGAGGGACAGCACTCAGGACCAGAGTTCAAGCCCCATGACCAAGAAAAAAAAAAATAAAGAGCTTTTATGAAAAAAAAAAAAGGCTTGGTGACTTATGTGAAGCCAAATACCAATCCTGAATGTTGCCACTATGAGACCCCAGCCCACAATACCAAAGACACCCATGCTTCAGTCAATTTACGTTCATGTATCCAGGTGGTTTTATCTCTTTATCAGGGTCATATACCTCCTAATTTTCTGGCATGCCTTTAATTTTCTTCCGCTTTTTCATCTCTATGCCAATTCAGCAGAACTGACTTATCATCCAATTTGAAATAATTATTGACTTTACCAAAGACTCTAACCAATCTGTTATTCTGCTTCTAACTATAAAGGTTTGGCTGGGCACCAAGGGCTCATGCCTATAATCCTAGCTAATCAGGAGGCTGAGAGATCTACTGATTGTGGTTCAAAGCCAGTCTGGGCACAAAAGTCCCTGTGAGACTCTTATCTCCAATTAACCACTCAAAACCTGGAAGTGGAGCTGTGGCCCAAAGTGACAGAGTGCTAACCTTGAGCAAAAAGAGCTCAGGAACAGCTCCAAGGCTCTGAGTTCAAGCCCCATGAACAACCAGAAAAAAAAAGTTTGACAGTTACTTTTTAACATCCTTAAGAGCAGAGAACAGAATACTCTGCTAATTTCTGTATATGAAGTAAAAAAAGTTTATGCCTATTGGCATACTAAATAATAAAGAGACCATTGCTATTAATCAGTATAGTATCTTCCTTATTGAAAGAGATTATCTGTAGTACAACTAAAACTCAAATGAAACATTTCCCCAGGTAATTGCAACTTCTGAGAAAAAAAGGCATGTGCAACTTTCCTCTAAAAACAACCAATAGAAATGCTTAAATTGCAATGTAAATTGCAATGAAAATTCTGAGCTCCAAACTAGGCAAGCCACCTTTGTCTCTTCCTACAGAAGTGAACGTCATTTTCTCTCTTAATGACTTTCGATAGATTGCTTCTGCTTGCTGATTAATTTTGAAGCAATTTTATTGCAAAATTATTCTCCACCTGTTCAGTCATTGTTGTTCTGTACCAAATGACACTCTATTTTTTTAACTCACATTTCTAACCTCTGGTTAATATTATCTCTCCACCCACACCTCCTCAAATTTAGCATCAAATGTTACATCAGTCAAAAAGAGAATCATTTGCATTTGATAGTCTGGGCCTAGAAAAGTTAAATGACCTTACAGTCACCTAGCCAGTGGTAGGGGATATAAGCACCAATCTGTCTGATCCCAGAGCCCGTATTCCATGAATAAACTAGTTACCTTCTTAAAGATACACTATTGCTTCTTTTCATTTTTTGGCTATAATTATTAGCGTATACAAACTGTACAGATTAGTAGGATGCACTGTGACTATGCATGTAGCATGGATTCTACTTTTCTCACTCTGCTCCTCCCTTCTCCTGAGCTTTTTCCATAATTTGGTATTCCTTCTTTTCTCCACATGAGGTGAAAACATGTGACATTTGTCTGAGTCTGGCTTAACATGATGACCTCTAGTTCAATCCATTTTCCTTTAAATGACAATATTTCAGCGTTTGTTTAATGGCCAAATCATTCTCTATTGTATATATGCATATATGTACATATATATGTAATATGTGTATATATCTATATAGTATTTTCTGATCTACTCATCCATCAGTGGGCACCTAAACTGATTCCCTAACTTGGCAATTGTGGATAATGTCACAGAAAACATGCGAATGCAGATGTATCTACTGTATGCTGACTTGCATTTTTAAGGTGTATACCCAAGAGTGGTATAGCTGAATCAGATGGTAGTTGTACTTTAAGTTTCTGAAGAACCTCCACACTGGTTTCCACAGTGGCAGCAACACAATTCTTGATGGCAGAATCTCAAATTTATAGTAAGACCTTCAATTTCTTCCTAGTTCTCTTCCCCTGTGTATACACATATGAACGTGTGTACATATGTAAATATACGTGTCTATATATGCATACATACATGTTCACATATACATATGCATCATTGCATGTGTGTGTAACATCTGCCTTAAATTAGGTTATGTTTAGAAGAAGTAACAATCCAGGCAGCCTAGGCTTAAACTCAA